CTATCTTGGCTCACTGCAACCTCCGCCTCCCAGGTTCAAGCAATTCTCCTGCCTCAGCCTCCCAAGTAGCTGGGATTACAGGTGCCTACCACTACACTCGGCTAATTTTTGCATTTTTAGTAGAGACGGGGTTGCACCATGTTGGCCAAGCTGGTCTTGAACACCTGACCTCAGGTGATCCACCCGTTTCGGCCTCCCAAAGTGCTGGGATTACAGGCGTGAGCCACCGTGCCCAGCCTGGCCCCATTCTTGAGGACTCTAATTCAGTAAGTCTGGGTTGGAGGCCAGAAATCTGCATTTTTAACAGGCATCTTAGGTGATTCAGATGGTCAACCCTAGAATTTGGCCCAGGTTTTGAACTAACCTTTTTTCTGCTGCAGTCTGTTTTAATCACCTTCATTGAAGGGTTTATTAGCATCTCCATGTTTATTACCTGTTTCATTCTCATAGCATCACAGCAACTCAAGCAGGAATAAGAGGTGGTTAGTTCCATTTTACAGGGTGTAAGGGGGTGGAAGGTGGGATTGAGGCACTGGGAGAGGTAGGTCATGATGAGTCAGAGACAGACGGGAACTCATGTCCAAAATTGATGACTCTCAAAACAGGCAATTTTCTGAGGCCTATTTTCGCAGCTTGTGATTTTATATTTAATCATAGTTATTCCCTGAATCTCCAGTTCATTGTACTTGGGTGAGCAAAGCATATTTGTATTTTAAACAAAGTAATTTAGCATCAAGGTGCCAGTTTTTGTTAGTATATCAAGGCTCTCTTAAGCTTGAGTTAATATTGAAAAAAGTATTGTGGAACTGACTTAATCTGCTTCTCTCTGTGCATGCTTCCTTTATTATTTCTGAAGACTTTTTTTTTTTTTTTGAGACAGGGTCTCACTCTGTCACTCAGGCTGGAATGCAGTGGCAGTCACAGCTCACTGCAGCCTCGACCTCACAGGCTCAAGTGATCCTTCTACCTCAGCCTCCCGAGTAGCTAAAACTAGGCGTGCACTACAAGCCCAGCTAATTTTTGTGTTTTATTTGTAGGAATGGGGATCTCACTATGTTGCTAGGACTGGTCTTGAACTCCTGGACTTAAGCAATCCTCCTATCTCGGCCTCCCAAAGTACTGGGATTACAGATGTGAGCCACTGCACCTGGCCAAGACTTTTTTTTCTTTTTTTTTTGAGACAGGGTCTTGCTTTCTCACCCAGGGTGGAGCGCAGTGGTGCGACATCAGCTCACTGCAGCCTTAACCTCCTGTGCTCAAGTGATCCTCCCACCTCAGCCTCCTAAGTAGCTGGGATTATAGGTGCACACCACCACATCCTGCTAATTTTTTTTTTTTTTGGTAGAGATGGGGTTTTACTATGTTGTCCATGGCTGGTCTTGAACCCCTAAGCTCAAGTGATCCATCACGTAAACCACTGCCCCAGGTGAACTTTTTTACATAAAATATAAGGGAACAGATTTCTCCTCTCAATGCCTACAGGAATCCCCTCTGATCTTCTAACTGGTAAATTACTAAGTTAAAAAATCTCTTAGCCCTCTGTCTCTCAAAGTTGGGTAGTATTAAATATATGAATCCATTTTTAGCCTGGGCAATATGGCGAGACTCTGTCTCCATACACACACACACACACACACACACACACACACGCGAAGCTAGATGTGGTGGCACATGCCTATACTCCTAGCTACTCAGGAGGCTGAGGATGGAGGATTGTTTGAGTCCAGGAGTTTAAGGTTACAGTAAGCTATGACTGTGCCACTGCACTCCAGCCTGGGAAACAGAGCAAGATGCTGTTTCTTAAAAACACACACACGACAATAATTTTTTAAAATCCTGAAAACTCTCAGTTAAATCATTATTGTTATTATTATTATTATTTTAGAGATGGGGGTCTTGCTATGTTGTCCAGGATGGTCATGAACCCCTGGGCTCAAGTGATCCTCCCACCTCAGCCTCCCAAGTAACTGGGAGTACAGGCGTGCATTACCACATTTAGCTAAATTGTTTTTATTATGCTGTGGTTATTTAAATTTACAAATATAAAGTAGGAAATAATGTGCTTTTATTTCTGGTTCTTATACAGCTACAGAAACCACAACAAATTTACAAATTAAATACAAATGAAACCACAAAATGAATACTATTCAATTAAAAATATTACAGTAATTTAACATGACAAATGATGTATTTTGCTAAAACTATCATCCCTCGTCGCCTGCTATAGCTCAGCTTCTTTTGTGTTCAACATGCCTATGCCACCAAATGACTCCTGATATCTTAATTTTCTCACCATTTTTCTCTGTTACAACTACCAAATAGTGCAATCTCATGATGTCATTTGGCTTTCATTTTGTGCATGAAAGTATCATTCTTATTTTAAAACCACCTCTGTTCTTTTCTCATTATCCCAGAACAATAAAAGCAGCACTAAAACACACATGTAAATGTAGGTGCTGAAATTGTGTGGCAATACTGAGTTGTAAGGTGGTCACCCAAATAATTCAGAATATGCTTATGCAAATCTAAAAAATATGAAAATGAAAATAAAATTAAAACCCTAGAGAATACATCCACAAACATAATTTGAGAAAAACTGTTCAGGTCTGCTGGTTCCCAAACTTTCATTACTATCAAAGGCTCTATCTATTGTGCTTACTTCCAAGCACCTCATTCATTCATTCATTCATTCATTCATTCATTCATTCATTCACAGGCTCTATTGTGCTTACTTCCAAGAACCCTATTTATTTATTTATTTATTTTTGACATGGGGTCTCACTCTGCCGCCCAGATTGGAGTACAGTGGTGCGATCCTGGCTCACTGCAACCTCTGCCTCTGGGGCTCAAGAGATTCTCATGTCAGCCTCCTGAGTAGCTGGGACTACAGGTGCCGGTCACCAGCCCAGCTAATTTTTGTATTTTTAGTAGAGATGGGGTTTCACCAAGTTGGCCGGGCTGGTCTCGAACTCCTGGCCTCAAGTGATCCGTCCGCCTCGGCCTCAGACCC